AATGGTCTGGCATTAAACCCAGGAACTGCTGGTAATTACTATATGCATTTGATGTCATTGCCTGGGTGGATTCACGGACGTTTATTGTACTCATTTCTGCTAGTTGTTGCTCTTTCGGCTTTTATACCCATTGTGTGTGATTTAATACGAGGCAACATGATGTTATAGAAGTGTATGTAACCAAGCACAAACAGACTTTTATTGGCTCTGGGAGACTTACATTTTGAAGAGGCTGGAAATTAGATTGTGTTTTAAACTGTGAATCTAAAGAAATGTTGCTGAAAATCACTGTTTTTTAAGAGAGATGTTCCCTATGAATACATCATTATAAATAACATCGATAAATTCTCTTTTCAAGCTATTTCCACAATATAACTTGTTGCTTGTAGGTCATCTAGAGTTCTGGTACAACCGTTTGGAGCTTGCTTGTTTTTTTCTGCTTAATGTACTCAAAAGGATTTTCAACAATTTCGGAATCCTTTTCGATTGGGGATTTGTGTTAATGACTTGTGAAAGGTGCGGGCAGCGTGAGGTGAGGCGATGCCGCTTTAAGCCACTGCGTGTGAATCAGTGAGCCAGATAAATGAATTTGTGTACATATGTATGTGCTGTGACAGCTGCGGCGGGACAGTAAGCTAGCTATTTGGCTGTGATATGAAATGCGAAAAATACGAGTAAAACGTGTGGATAAAATTGTTGTTTGTTTTGTTTTTTAAATTGCGGTTCTCTTCGGTCTCGCTACATACATCGAAAGTGACGTCTAGGGCACAATCTCTACAAAAGTTGTTCGATTTCAGTTGTGGGAGCAAGGGATTTACTTAAGGACTCAAATTGGATTAGGCGCCAAACTATTATGTGTTTAAGCGAATGTAATTGTGATTATAAATGCATTACAAAAATACAAAAAACAAAAAATGCAATATTTAAAAATGTTTATAATACAACTTAAATTTTGCCATACACAAATTCACATATAATATTTCTATCCCATTACAGTTAAATTCACTAGGAACGTTAAAATGTCCGCTGAAGCAGAAGCAATTGTCACGGCCGGTGCTGCCGATGCAGCGCCAGAGAAAACAGCTAATGAGCCCGTTGCTGCAGACACCACGCCCGATAAGCAGCCTTCAGAAAGTGCTTTAGATCCGGAGCAAATACGTGCCGAAAAAATCCTGAAGGGCAAGGAGCTGTTCAGTCTGGGATCCCGTAACTTTCTAGTGAAGAGCTACGACGAGGCAGCCGATGAGCTGAGTCAAGTGTGCCAGCTATACGAGGAAGTTTACGGTGAGCTGGCCGACGAGTTGGGACAGCCACTGCTACTGTGAGTAGTTCGATGATATAGCAATCAGATCGAAATAATCAACATGTATTCTCTCGTTATTTCGTGCAGTTATGCAAAGGCGTTGATTGCGATGGCACTGGATGAGAACAAAGTAATCGATGTGCCCGATGAGGCAGCCGATGATGATGAGGATGAGGATGTGGACGAAGAGGAAGACGAAGAGGGCGAGGCCAATGGAGAGAAGCCAGCGGTGGCTAAGGCAAATGGTGATGCAAAAGGCAAAAAACTGGACAGCATTAAAGAAGGTACTGCCGACGAGGCGGACTCCACAGGCGATGCCGACCAGGCTAAGTCAGATGTTGCCAGTGGCACCAAGCCACCTACGGGAGTCGATGAAGTAAGCAGCAGCAATAGCAATTCTGCAGCATCTAACGCCGAAGATGAGCGTCCAAGCACCTCCAATGGTGAAGTGGCTCCAAGTACCAGCAACGGCGGGCCAGGGTCCATGGATGTGGACCAGGCAGAGGAGGACAACGAGGACGCCGAAGGTGTAAGCGGAAGCTTGCAGTTGGCTTGGGAGATACTCGAGGCGGCGGCCAAGATATTCTCGCGACAGGGTCTCAGCGGCTTGCCTTACCTGGCTGACGTGCAAACCGAACTGGCCAATATTGAATTTGAGAATGGTATTCTGGATGCTGCTCGTGATGATTACGGTAATAGTTTGAGCTAATAGAATGTTGAATGTGTGATTAACTTGTGTACGACTTGCAGATAAGGCGCTGAAGATACATGCAGAGCTGCCTAATAGGAATCGCCGTGCACTGGCCGAGCTGCACTACAAGATCGGACTAACTCATCTCATGCAGCAGCAGAACAAGGAGGGCGCCGGTGCCTTGCGCAATTCCAGCGTGCTTATCGAGGAGGAAATTGCCGAAATCAAGAAAAAGGAGAATCCCACCGAGCGTGACAAGAACAACATGCTGGACTTGGAAGAGACTAGACAGGAGATTCTGGTCAAAATTCAGGAGATTGAAGAAACACAGGCGCAGGTGAGTCACAATTCAGGAAGATTTTAACCATACGCAGAGTCGATACTAATACTAAATCATTTCAGACCATTGCTGAGGTCCGCGCCGCCTTGGACAGCTACATAAAGCCAATGAGCAGCAGCAGCAACGCCGGTGGAGATTCAGCTGCCTCATCATCGACAGCAGCTGGTAGCGGCGCCGCTGCCAATGGAGCTCCATCAAGTTCCTCTTCGGCTGCAACGTCGGCTGCCTCGTCGTCGGCTATCAGCAGCAGCTCGGCCAAGCCCACAGATATCACGCATCTGATCAAACGCAAGAAGCCCGAGGAGCCCAGCTCGGAGGCCGAAGCTCTCTGTTCGCCGGCCAAGCGTGCTGCTGTTTAGGCATCGCTCGAAGACTGCACATTCCAGCTGTAGACACACTCTAATACAAACACACACACAAACACAAACAACAACACCAACACATCAACTACTTAAAACTCACACATATATACGTAAACACACACACACACAAGCTTATTCTATCCCAAGCCTCGTTCTATTTAAGAATATGCTATTTGTTTTTGATGTTCACAACAACCATTTTCTATAAGTCTGTAAGATTACAATCACAACTAGTGCTAAGTGCGTACATAAAATAATGTTTTTATACTATTTAAAAGAAACAAAATGATCGAGAGCAAAACGATTGAATTAATAATAAAAACGAAATTGCCTCACAAAACAAAAAGTTGTTAATTCACCAAAAAAAAAGGTGTTCAAATTAAAGTGTGTGTGAGTCTAGAGGTAAGAGCTGTTTGGAAATTAGGCTCCGGGGCTGGATTGCGCCACAATACGTACTCAGATGGGGCTGCAGTGTGATGACCTGTGACTCACTGTGCTGCCAATCGTTGCGCTGCTCCTCGCCGCGCGCATTCTCCATCGATCCGGCCAGGTAGTTGACACAGGGCGGCGCACCGCGCGGAAATTTCGGATTGCGGCGCAGCTCCTGCAGCTGCGCTATGGGCAGATCAATGCACAGCGTCCAGATGCCGCCGTGCATGGGCACCAGGAAAACGGAGTCGCGCCGGAAACGGTGGTCAGCTGGAAAGTAATTGATAAAGCATTTCATCAGAGTTTACGAATGTTAATTGGAATTCAATTTCGAATTATCTGACTTGCCTCTTTTGTCTGGCTTGAGCATGGCCACCTGCTCGTCCAATAGCCACTCCAGATGCAGACCCGACCGATTCGAGTAACGGTCCAGACTAGTGCGATCCCACGTCACGTGCTCCCAGTGGTCAGTCATTATGGCGGCGCAGAGCATGGCCGTGGCGCTGGTGGTCATTAGCAGCGTGACGAACAGAAACAGCACGGGTGGGGGACCCATGCAGCAGCTGGAGCAGCAGGCGCTGGCTCCGGTTCCACTGCCCATGCCCATTCCGTCCATGTGTGAGCTAAGCGATGTGGATGTGTCCAAGGCAGCGGCACCGGCACTGCCGCTTCCCCTGCGCTGTATAACCTTGGCGCAACTGTTCTGTCTGAGCAGGATGCTGTTGCTCCTCCTCAGGCTCTCGACGGCAGCGGCTGCTGCTGCTGTGGTCGCTGCGTTGCTGGCCGCGTCGAACTGCAAGGAGCCGCCAACAACGGACGAGGGATGCTCATAAATGCTATTGTGCCGGCTGGGCGCAAAGTAGTAACATGTGGTCTGGCGTGGCGTAATATCCGCTACCTCCGGCCCACCCGGCAGATCCTCATTGCTGCTGGAGTAGACAATCGATTGCTTGAACTGATTCGAGTAACAGTTCTGCTTAAAGGATTGCGACGACTGCTGTGCCGGCGGCGGCGGCGTCGGCGATTGCTGCTGCACGTAGAGCGCCTCGTAGTCGCAGTGATGCGGATTGCGGTAGATGACGGGCCAGGAGCGCGTCGTCTTCGAGTTGTGACTGTACCGATTGGTCGTGTTCGATGTGCTTGGATTTTGTGCAGATGCCACAGCGTTTGTGGCAGTGGCAGCGGCGCACCGCTCCTCCACCAGCGGTGTCAGCTCGTTGGGCGCCTCAATCTCGCCAAGCGCCTGCTGTTGCTGCAGTTGCTGCTGCCCCTGCTCCAGCTGCTGCTGCTCCTGCTGTTGCTGCTCGTCTACTTGGCTGGTTGTTGCCAGCTGGCGCTGCAGCACGCTCTTGCTGGCGCCGCTGCCACTGGCTGGTTCCGCTGTTATCAAACTGAAGTCCTCCTCCTCGACCAGAGTGACGCCGCCCGCTGCCAAGCCTAAGCCTGGCGAGAAAATGCTGTTAGACGTTGGCTGTGAGCGGCTGCGCAGCAGCGTTATGTGTTTGTTGGGTGCATCATGTTGTTGTTGTTGTTGCTGCTGCAGCTGCTGCAGCTGGAGCTGGCTGACACTGGTGGGCGATGTGATGCTCACTTCTGGCACACATCGGGCCGTCACCTTGTACCGACTGCCGCTGCCAACGCTGACGCCAACGCCAACGCCAACGCCGATGCCGACAGCGCTGCCAGCGCCCTTGGCACGCATCAGTCATAAATCGGAGCTGTCGCGCTTTTTGATCTTGTTCAAGCTCATGTGGTTCGTGGTGGTTTGGTGGTGGTTGTGGCTGTGGTTGTGGCTTGCTTGCTTGATGTTGGATGTTCAGATGGATGCTATTGAGGTGTTGCTGTTGTTCTTGTTGTTCTTGTATCTGTTGTAGCTGTTGTTGCTTTTCAACTAAATTGAGTGCGACGCCTAAAAGTCTACTATGCAAAATGTAATTTTCGCTTGTGCCACAAAAGGAAACTACTAGCGGCGTTTGTTATTGCTGTTGTTTGTTTGTTTGTTTGTTTACTGTTTGCTGCAACAGGCTCGTTTGTATATACCAATTTACAGTTATGTTTGGTTTGTTTGTTTGCTTTTTTTTCAATACAGTTTTTGTTATGGTTATTTCTTATGGTTATTTGGTTTTTGATTTCTGATGATTTCTCTCTACGTTATACAAATTTTTTTTTGGTTTAGCTTGAAGCTCTAAAAAAAGAAGTAGAGAAAACAAATGTACAACATGAGTTTTGAAGAAGTTGAGATAGATAGAGATAGAGAGAGTTAGATAAAAAGTCGAAATACAAAGTAAACTAGTAATTACTTATAGATCGATTAGCGCTAATATTAATTTTATTACTACTTATTACTGCGTGCAACAATGGAACAATCAAAGCAACATTTACTAAGTTCATTATGGGATGCATAGACGGATTCATTATGGTAATGATATCAGTAAAAGATAAGACTAAATGTATTTAAATATGAATTATGAACTGTTTGTTGTTATCTATCTGTTATTATCTAGAAATAATAATGTTTATTTAAAATGAAGTCTAGAAAATCTGACTAGTAGATATTCCTAAAAAATATACCTTTTAATTAAATTAAAAATTAAACAAAAATCATACAGAAGAACATGAAAAATCTTTGTAAAATACTTAAATAAAATTATGCGAAAGTGAATTTTCAAGAGACTGCAAGGAAGAGACGAAGAGATAGATTAGCCCCTTTGAATACCAAAGAATCTTGCAAACTAATCAAAAATGATTCATGTGTAACATGAAGATAATAACGCCCTCTTATGGCATGTAAATTGCATTATCCTTCGGCTTTTATGCGCTGTCTACGATATGAATAATACGAAGCATAATTGCATTTGCAATTCCAAGCACAATGACCCGAAACTAATTCAATTTTATGCTGCTCACACTCGGAATTCCAAATGCTCCTCAGACATGAGCCGACCCGAACCGGCCCGAACCGCCCCAACCCGACCTGTTCCGACCCCGTCCGGCCCTGTGGCTCAGCTGGAGACCAAAGTATGTTTGCTGCATTTTGTACGGCCGCCTCACAACCTCAACGCCCAGCGGAAATCCGACTGGCTGCCAAGTGAAGGTGGGTTAGCTGCAACCGTTGCAGCAATTCAAATTTTGGCCAGGCCATAAAAAAGGGTAGGAGCATTCATTTTCGCCATCTACTTAGCCACACACACATTTATGTAGCAGGTGCAGTAGATCCGCTCCAACCGTATATCATAGCCACATCCCTGCATTCCGCATGCCATTTGCATTCCTTTATTCCGCGGTCAGCAGCTGGAATGCCGCAACTGCGGTTTCCTTGACTTTTTTCATTAAACTAAACGAAACTATTTGCGGTGCGCGAAAGACCAAATAACTAAGGTTTTAATACATATTTTATATTTGCACTTTGTTTTATTTAGACTTGATTTTCAGTAGATAAACGGATCCCAAATATTGTTCCAGGACGCTCCAATCATATGTTAAACATTTCAATCCGATTTGTATTATTAAATTAAAATGTAGATTAATATTATTTTTGAAAATGAGACGAAAAACCCTCGAAAGCAATATCTGATATAAATCATATCAATGTTGGTTTCTAGGGCTTTTTCGTCTTATTTTCGAAAATAATATTAATCTAAATTTTAATTTAAGACACTTGATAAAGTTAATAAAATTCAGCGGAATCAAATTGATCGATTCATGGAAATATAAAATTATTATAGAATGACGTACGATCCTCCTCTAAAACTTACCGAGATCAGTGCAATGATAAATAGACGAACAGGCGAAAATACAGACGGACGGACCAAGAGGCGTGCAGATCGACAGAATAGGATTGTCTTAGTAGATGACATAGATTAAGTACTTTACCACTTATTTTTTTTTCCTTTTATATGCTCTTTAAATCAACAATTATAAGCAGATCTGATTTGAAGTATAATCTACATCAAAGCTAGATTACCATAAGAGATTTGTATAATATAGCAGTTGCCTCCTCAGTACAGGGTATTTCTCAATCGGCTACTTCTTTAATTTCAGCCTTTGCATAAATGCCATGTAAGACTACTTTTTTATTGTATGTTTCCAAATGAAACGAGAATTAATTATGTCCACTCGTTTGATACCGGTTTATGTTCTTGTTTATCTGTCAAATTGACATGAGATTTTATTGTCTTTGTTATTTAGTTGGGTATATAAGGCATAGCCTGCAGCTGGCACCATTCGAGTGGAATATTTAAAACAGTTTCTATTATTTATAACGTTATAAATTATTGCTGATTGCAACGAGAGCCTGGAGTCTAAGTGGGTAATGTCGTCCTGGCCCGTTAGGCTGCTCTGTACGTGACTTTCCGTGTAGATTGCGGCAAAGGTCTTTACAGGACATATCTCTCTGTGAGAGCTCTCCGCTCGAACAGTTTGATAAATATTTAATGGAAACAAAATAAAGCGGCATGCAAATCTGTTGCGTGCATAATTGATATGCCAATAGATGGAGTGTGGCTTTGTCATCGCTGTCTTCAACCCAGAGGCTAATTGGAGTCTTGACAGGATTTTAATTAACACACATGCTACTGGATGAACGGCAGCTGTTATTGAGGCGCCGTTAATTGTGTTTTGTTCCTCGATGTTGGTTAAAATTCGATAGTCAATATTGTCGTTCTCAGAAGAGTTTGCCCACGGGCATCAGGCGTCATCAGGCGGCGCCAGTAAGCCCGCCCTGAAGTTACTTCAATGTCACAAGCTCTCAGCAATACAATCAGGACCCAGCACACTCACACTGATGTTTAGGTGTATGCTTGAGTGTGTTCCCAAAAGTTTATAGTTGCATTGGATACTTAAAGCAGTCTAGGAGAACTTTGTCCTGCTCCGGTTCGAGTTGAAAAAGTTGAGAGCAGCTTAACACATTTTCTCTTCTAATAAGAAAATGGTATAAAAACTTTTCCACAAGAACGAAACCATAGATGCCATGCCAGAAAGTCTTATACAACTAAAACAGTTATGAGATTCACAATTAAATTTAAGTAATTATAGAATTTATTGACTTTTATTTTACTCTAGTTGAGAATGGCTTTCTAATTGTCTCACAAAATTAGTTTTCTTAAGTTTAGCTACGGCTAAATATTTTCATTATTGCAAGCTAGTCTTTCAAATATAGAATCATTAATATGTAGATATATATCAGAAATATCTATATTTGATCACTGAAGTGTCGAGTATCTAAATGTGATAAGCAGATATACTTATGAAAAAATAAGAATTTTATTAAATTTGAATTTGAGTTGTATAATGAACCGTCTATCCTTTTTATATAGTTATTCATCTGCTACTCATTGCATTTTGTGCTGCTAAACAGTCAGAGAAATGCACCAGATACATATATAATTGAATTATATAAAATTTACAAATATTTGTTCACAATATAAAAATTACTTGAGTCAATAATATTGACTCAATATTAATTAAATAATCAATGCAAAATCTGCGTGAAAAAGCTAACTGATATTTGATAAAAAAATGTCTGCTTTACACTAACGAGTCATTCTCTAAAATAAATATAACAAATTATTTGTATTAAAAAAATATGTGTCATGAATTTTTTGGATTATTACAAAATTAATCACAATTTATTTGTTAAGCTCTGAAAGCGACATAATGGTTTGGTTTTTAAACCCCTGGCGGCGTTGCAGCTGCATCCACTTTGAACAACATGTGTTGCAACAATTGCCGGGAGACTTAACTTCCCTTATATTCTCTTTTTTTTCAAGTACTGCGACATTTTATGCATGTAATTAAAATGGCACTTTATTACACACAGACACATACGCAGACACCTATTCACAGACACACACACTTATGCAAGTGACAGGCGAGTTGATTGCGCATTTGTTATTGTTGTTGCTGTTGTTGTTGCTGGTGTTACTGTTGTTGTTGCCGTGGCAACGTTGTTGCCTTGACAATTAACGGCGGCCCAACAATTTTTATTCTTCTGCTTACCAGCCCCAGCTGGCCCTTTCCGCCTCCTCCTCCTCCTCCTGCTTCACCCAAAAGGGGTCATCATGAGTTGGTCGAGGCAGACAAAGTCACTACTTCAGGCGCCCCCAGTCACGTCCATGACTCGTCCTATAGCTGTCCTGCCCAGTCGCATTGCAAATGAGGCAATGCAAATTTATATTTTGAAAGCGTAAAATTCATTGCCTACTTTCGGGCGCCGCAGCTACGAAAGTTTTTGTTAATACGCCTCGACAGCACTTTCTTGCACCGACTCGCAGAGGCTGCCTCATCTGACTGCACGTCCGAGCGAGAGCAAGCTCCAAGGCCTGCCTAAGTTGTTGCCAAGTTATTTATTTAGTCTGCTAGCCGTTTCTCAAGCAGCGCAAAAAAATGGCTTGCCTGCAAATTGCCAAGTTAATTAAAACTTATTTCATGCAATTTCCAGTTAATTATGCGCATAAGTTGGCCTAGGGGAATCTTTAGGATAGAAGTGGGCCTGTTTTTAGTACTAAGCGAATGATACTTCAAATGCGCTTGCAGTTAAATATTTGGCTTGCTCGTGTTGTTGTGCTTAAGACTTAAACTAATCGGGATAAAGCTTGGAATGCATATTTCGCATATAAATAATTTAAAAACTTTAATAAGAAATCTGTGATAAATAATATAGCATGTAAATCGTACGTTAAATGCTTCAGCCCTTTGCTTCCGTCAACTTGGTAAAACTTAGCAAGAGTCAAATTGTAATAGAACTTAGAGGTCATAATAAACATAGAGCCGCTAACTTTTTGTTATTATCGATTAGAAACAAGTCGTTGTGACCGCCTCATGATATATGTACAAGAAAAATGTTTAACTGTCCAGTTTCCTTTATTATACACTGAACCCATTGAAAATGGGAAATTTCGGTATAACGGGTTCGTTAAATGTATGTAATAGATAGAAGAAGGCCTGGCTGACTGCATAAAGATGTATATTTTTGATCAAGACGATGAGCTTAGTCGATTTAGCCTTGTATTTATTTAAAATAAATACTCTGTTTCCTCCAAGTATTTCTTCTAAGTATTCGCAAAGTATTTCCTCCAAGATTTTCTTCTAGGTGCTTTCTTCAAGAATTTTTCTGAGTATTTCTTCTAAGAATTTCCATTACTTAGAGGAAATTCTTATTCTATTATTCTCAGTAGTTCCTCTGAG